ATAATACAAAACCCATCTTTTCTAATAATTCGACCTTTATGTTAAGTGTGTCAACCTTTTATGTCATAATTGAATAATAAAAACTAATATTATATATTCTTTAATGCAAACACTTCTTTAAGTACAGTAGAAATAATTATTTTAAAAAGTTTAGTGAAATTTTAGATACATATTATTATTGTAACTACTACTACTACTATTATCACCATTATCTTCATTTAAAATTTCCATGTGTAAAGTGCATATACATTTGTTAGTTATCCCAATTATTTAGACCATTAAAGTGGTATATTAAAATCAATGAATCAACCTCTACTATCCATATGGCTTCCAAATGAAAAATCTCTACTATTCCTATAATATACAAGGTTTTCAATTAGTCTCAACCATACAAGTATGGCATGAAAATATTAAAAAATTTAACCCATGTAAATTAATGCGTCAAGTAAAACCTATAATTTGAACTAGGGATGGCAATTTTCCCTATAAAACTAGGGCCTCACCTTGAATAGGGTAAGTTTTCTTCGATCTTAAATGAGGACGTAGCGAAGATGGGGTTTGCATACAACTCCCAAAACTTAGTGGTAAATTATTAAAAGACCCCTAGGTTGAATATTAATTTCTAAAATACCTCTAAATTTTTCAAATTTACAAAATCTTAGCATCCAATAATTTCATTTCTAAAATACCCCTAAATTCCCATAATCCCATTTCTAAAATACCCTAAAAATTTTTATGTGCTTTTAAGTAATAATTGACTTAGGGAAAGGAAAATTTCGGGATACTCCATCTCTGGTGGGGAGGGGGTGCCCCGCCCCAAACTTGCCCCGCCGTTGGGGATAGGGCGGCGATAGGATTAGGGGTGAGTAATCGGTTTGTTCGGTTCAAAACCAAACTGAACAAACCAAAATTTCAAAATTTGATCTACTAAACCTAGAAACCAAAATGAAGCCAATGTTTGATAAAATCGAACAAACCAAATTGATTTTTTTTTGTTATTTTAAAACTGAAATGGAATGGCATGGGCCAAGAAATATTGGTATGGATAAGAATTTTAAGACACTCAAAAGTCTTTTAGTCCTTCCAAATGCACAGGCATGCTTACAAATGCACATATTCAATCAGTTTAGGCATGATTTTATGATTTTTTCCCTTTTTTTATTGGTCACTATTATTTTTTTATCAGTATTACTATTATTTTTTAACTATGCAATAAAACAATTAACTTCATTTTGTACATCAGTTACATGATTGGCTTGGAAAAGATTATGGAAAGATGCAAAATGAAGATGTATTGATCATCTCCAAATGAATCCTCCTTAGAAAAAAGAGCAAAATTTTTCAAGATAAAGGTTAACTTGGGAAGAGTGCTATGATTGGAGTAAGAGTTGTTGGAAGGTTGTGAGAGTGAGAGTGAGAATGAGATTGAAACCGGAAGAAAAAAAAGGAAAACTAAAATCCTAGTAATAGGAGAATGGAAATTGTTCAATTCCATAATCTCACCCTCATAGAATCTGGCATGTCACTTACCAGTGCTGAAGAAGGAAAGGGGAAAAAAAAGAAAACTTACCCGAGCTTTTGTCTTGTAGAGTTGTAGTTCATTGATCGAACTGTCAGTTGCCAGTGCCGAAGAAGAAGATATGTTTGGTCTTCGGCTATGGTTCACTACTGCACCACCTAAGTTCCAAAATCGAGAGTTCAAACTTCAAAGCCATCGCTCATCAGTGCTGGTTAGACTTAAGGTTTAAGTGTAAAATAGTAAAAGAATATTTACCTTTTTTTCTTATAAGTTTGTTTTTTTCGGTTAATTAAACACCTAAGTCCTATAACCAAAGCCAAAACCCAACCTTTGAAAAATCGATGTTAAGAACTAAAACTGAACCGAATCACACTGAAACCAAAATTTCAATTCAGTTATTCGATTTAAAACCAAACTATGCTCACCCCTATATAGGGTAGGGGATTTTGGATATGGGGAGGGGGTGCCCTGCCCCAAACCCACCCTTGTTGCCATTCCTAATGAATTTCTCTTTTGGGGGTAGATCGGTTCAACCATGTGTTTAGTATAGTTACCATTGGTTGGTTCACCTAGGCTGATTTTTTTTGCCATTCATTGCTGATAGCTCCTTTTTTTTTTTTTTTGAAAAGAATAGAAATGTACTACACACAACAGGGGGTAGTATGTCCCCAAAAGACAACAAAACAAATAAGAATAAGAGAAGGGGGAAGAGATGAGATGTTAAAATCTAGAGAAGAAGAAGAAGAAAAAAGAGCCTCACGAGCAAGATAGTTAGTCGCCTGATTAGCTTCTCTAAAAACATGTTGATACTGAAGACCTCCTTCGATCAGATCTCTCCTTCGTAGGCAACTTGAGATAATGTTGATACCTCATTATGTATGTTCATTTACTATTTTCCAAGTTGAGATAAAATGGTTATTGATAAGGTCAAAATCGACCACCATTTAGAAACTGCCAAGTGGCAACATGCTATGAGATGACTTGGTCCTGACGAGCTACGAGCTGGCCTGCCTTGGCAAGATAACCTGGTCCTAACGAGCTACGAGCTGACCTGGTCCTAACAAATTGATCTAACACCAACTCATAACATGCACAAGCAACATGTGGCTGAGCTAATCAGAACATCAATGCCAACGCACTCCATGCAGGCCCACTGCCTACCATGTGCACATAACGTGTCAACTAAGGGTGCAAAAAGTGGACTGAGCTCTGACCACGTGTGAGAGGTATGTTGGTGCTTAAATGAAGCCCCTCTCCTATAAATAGGTAAGTCCCCCATTCATTTGGGCATAATTTAACATGGTAGTATGTTACTATGAACAAGGCACGTTGGGCACCTCGTCACATGGATCTCACTAGTTCCCTCAATGAGCTCTTCAACTCATCACATGGAGCTCACCAGCTCCCCCTATGAGCTCTTCAACTCTTCACATGGAGCTCACCAACTCCCCTACGATCTCTTTAGCTCAACACATGGAGCTCTTCAATCAATCCATACGAGCTCTCCAGCTCTCCTCACGAGCCCTCTAGCTCTCACCCCATCTCACTAAGCTCTCCAGCTCACCTTATTTTCCCTTGGCGTTACTGACTTAATCATCGGAGTCCACGCCCCTAGGATCACGCGAGGCCTCTAACGGTCTCTTATGGTTGCAGGTTTCTCTTAGCAACTAAGGTGTCGAGCCGAGGTGACACCCTACTCCAATAGCTTTCCATCCTTGCCCTTTGGTCAATTTTGATCGTCATCAATTATTTCACTTGGCTCTTCTTCTTTTTCTTATTTTTTTAAGCAAGCAAGTTGGAGGGCATTGCATGAATAAGCATGGTTTTCAAAACCAGATCGGACCGGAAAAACCAGGAATAAGTCAGGTGACTAGTTCTATTTTTCCCCAAAACCGGATTTTTGCAAAAAACCGTTGATTTGGTCAACAAACTACTAATCCGGGCGATTGAATCGTTTGAATTATTCAATGATTTTGACCGTTTTTTATTATTATTTTTTTGTTAAAACAAATTGACCGTTCAGTTCAAATGGTCGGACTGTTCGACCTGGGAACAGTTCGGTTCAAATGGTCAAACCGAACCCTAACCGGTTTGGTCTCCGGATCGATTTTAAAAACCTTGTGAATAAGAGTATAGGTTGGTTTTTTAATAATTTAGTGATGTGAAGTAAATCAATTAGTTTTCTTGCATTAGGCAAAAATAATGCTCTTTATCATCCTTTTTCCTTGACTTTTCTTTTTTCGGTAGGTGGGTCGATTTGACCCCATAATCAAAAGAGTTAGTGTTGATTGATAAACCTAGCTCTAGTTAGGGCTCTTGGTTTGAGCTTATAGCATGTTGCCCTTTTGAAGTAGATAGATGTCACATGTCAGGTTGATCGTATGTAAAGCTTCATATATAGATGCTTCTCTAGTTCTCTTGTTTGCTATTTATAGATGTTTATACACTTACAAGTTGGCCCAGGTAGTCCCTGACAAATGTTGTCGCATTTGTAGGTTGGCCATCCGTTGTTGTGCTTGTAGAGTAGCAACTCATGAACGTTATTGCGGTTGCAGGTCGGTCGCTTGCAAGTTGGACTAGGTCAGTCATTGGTGGATGTTGTCAGAGTTGTTGATTGGTTACTTATAGGCTAGTTATTCTCTTTGACTCCCTTTGGGTTTAAATGTCCCATGTTTTGGGTTCCGTAATCCCTTGATCAATTGTTTCCATAAATGATGCCATTTGTTGTTGCTCAGGGGGAGATAAGAAAATGACCTTGACATTCTGATGACTTGCAATAAGAAACGATGCTAAAGACTTCAGAGTTCTTTCCCTATGGTGGAGACACATAACACTCAAGTTAGATGAAGGATACACAAAGAGATATTAAAAGGCCGGACTAGAATAAAGTGGTGTGAATGTGAATAGAGATGATCCAATGTATTGTACATTGGGTTCTATGCCCTTATACAAGGGAGGGGCCTTGAAGAAGAAGTAACAATCTTCTTGGTCGGCCCAGGCCTCCTTATTCAAAATGTATGCACATCTTTGGCTTTATGTTCCTCACCAGTTACGTCGTTCAGTTTCCCCCGTTGCCTCTTGTTCATTCCACATTGTCACAGGGCTAATCGTTAATGCCCTCAAGTGGTCGAGTACGCTTATAAAACAAATCAACAAAAGGATAGAAACAATAAATATGTAACAAACGCAGTAATGAGTTAAGTACATGTACACAATTGATAGTTTGGGGGGGGGGGATGTTTAACCTTTACACCATAGTTCCCTTTTGACTATTCATTCGCATTTAAGCACATTGGGATCTAACATAAGGATACATTAAGGGTGCGTTTGGTTCATGGACAGGACCGGAATCGGAATCGAAATCACCTATTCCTAAAACCTGTTTGATTCAGTCAGGAATCGGATTTGGATTTCGATTGCTGTTGTTTGGTTCAACTAGAAGCCGGAATCGATATCAGCCAAATTTCCAATTTTGCCCCTGTTAAAAAAACCTCAAAAACAGATATATATTGAATAATTTGCCCCCATATATACATATATATTGAACTGCAAACTAACGTAAATCTGTATCAGAGCCATAACTCAAATGGAATAAAAAACTCAACAGGCGCCTGATTCTGTACAAGATCCTATCTTGCTTGAACTTCTACAGGAAGCTTCACACTTGCCCCGTTGAGCTCAAAGTTGCTGCTGCCACTCGTGAAAACCTTTGGAATCCTTCCATCATTTTCTTGCTGAATAGTTGCATTGAACCTTGAGCTATGTAGGCTTTCTTCCACGAGATTGGAGTTGGCACTGTAGCAACTGTAGCAATAGGCTTCTTTGGCCTCCCTCTCTTTGATGTCTGTTGTCCAACTAGTGCATTGTTAGTAGGATCCACAAGAATTTCCTCCATTGTTAGTTGGGTTCAAAGACAAAACCTCTGCTTCAAGCTTCATTAATCAACTTCCATATGTAGCCATTTCTGATTTCAACTAACTAATTGCAGTCCACAACTACATTCTCCATTGACTGCATAACCAACACCATAAACAAGCTACAAATTTATTGTCACACAAACAATATGGTAAACTTAATTGAAAAAAAAAAGAAACCAAAATATTGGATACGAAGAATTTGATTTCCAATTAGGAAGTTGAATATAAAGAAAATGCAAATTGACAGTCAAGTAGCAATGAAAGCAAACTAAACAATGAAATCATACCCCATTTTTATCCTCCACGAATGCATCTATTAATTTTTTGACAACATATTCCCCTGCACTAGTAGACAGAGTTCCCAATACAAAAAGACTGTCCAAAATGACAGAGAAAACTAGACAACAACGACTAGAATGATAGCTGATGAGGGCGGATTTGGCCCTCCAATGACATTGTGACACCTGGCACCTCGTGACAACTAGGTGCAGCCTCGTGACAACTAGATAGCTTGCCACAGGCAGCTCACCACTTACAGGCAACTAACCATCATGTAGCCTGGCAACTTAGACAACTTGCCACCTCACAGGCAGCTCGCCACCCAAACAACTCAGCACTTACAGGCAGCTCGCCACCAGGCGGCACTTACAGGCAGCTCGCCATCATGCAGCCTGGAACCTTACAGGCAGCTCGCCGTCATACAGCCTAGCACCTTACAAATAGCTCGCTTCCTAGTCAGACTGACCATCGCATGACAACCCCGAGGAGCTCACCCACTTCCGGTTTAGGCAGAAATGGGCAACTTTACCGGTTGGTGGCTTTATCCCCACCTAACACGAAAATAGGTCCCATTACAGCGGGAATCCAGGAACTGCTCCACCAAACCCACGAGGACTCCAGTATATAAAGACCTCACCCCCAGGGGCGAAGGTATGGAAGAAGAGAGGGAAAGTGACGCATAATCTCTGCTCACTAGCTCTCTTGCTCTCTAAATTACCATCAACTCGCAAATTACTGACTTAAAAATCGGAGCGACCTCGCCGGGTAAGCACCCCCGGGTTCTCTGATTCCTCTTTTGCAGATTATCCAACTTCGTCGTCTACTGGAAGCCAAGTCATCTCTAGCTTAGTCAGATTGCATCGCATCAATAGCATTTATAGTGGCTTCCGAACATTCTTTTACTTGACATGGTTGCTAAGAATAATTTTGACCTGTATTTTTTATTTACATTCCGGTGATAACTTTGTTTCCAACTTTGTACTTAACCCTGGCATGGTTGTTAAGAATTACTACTTGATTTTTTTTTCCTGTTGGATAACACTGGTTCTTAATTACTCTTTATCATGTATATGTTCCACCTGTCATGTTTTTAAGCTATTTTCTAATGCTTATTTCAACTTCAGATCTAAAATTGTCTCTATCATTCAACCTAGTAAGAAGGTAAAGAGCACATTCAACCCTATGTAAAGTCCCAGGCATGATGCTCCCAAACTAGTTTAGATCTGTCCACTCCCTCTGTCATTTCATTAAGAACAATTTACCACCAACTAAAGGAACTAAAATGATGTGTATGGTGTGCCCTTAAAATACCCAAAAGTAAGCTAAAGCAAGGGAATCCTCAATTCCTTACTAACCAAATTAGAATTATCACATAATTTTTTAATAACGTGTATTAAAGAGAAAAAAAAATTGTAAGTACAACCCCTGAACCTTAAAGAACAGAGGTGGTGAGAATACAGAAGAGAGGAAAAAAACCCAAAAGTGTCCTTATACAGAAGGAAATGACAAAGTTGGGTTAAGTAGTGTCCTGCAAACTCCACTATGGCATAACTCTACAGCACAATAAGCATTGTTATAACCCATCTAAATGAAATAGTTCAATCCATCAGATTGTTAGATTGCTAGCCCTACAATACATACTACTGGTTACTGAATAGATTGTCTGTGACCTACAATCCACATGTTTGCTAGCCCTACAATCCTCTTGTTTTTAGAGGGATATATAAACAAGAATGTGTCAAAAGAAATTAGCTGTTTCTGGAGGTTTTTGGATATTTACCAATTTGACACTAGAAGCTTTGTCTGTCTGTTTCAAAAAGACAGATTGTCATATGTTAGTAGTTAAAATATAAAAGTCATATGAAGTATTTCAGTGGTAATTATAACAAAGTTGAGTATCAACCATTTAGTATTTCACTATCCATTGGATGTTAGTTTATTTTTCTTCTTACTATGTTGTTAAGGCTCAGCTTGGGAAGAATGCAAATACAAATATGTATTGTGGAGAACCTTGTATATGGCATTTCTAAACCTTGTATTTGTATTGAACATATTTGAATTTGCAAATTGCAATCTTCCCAAACTGAGCCTAATATACAAATCATCTAAATGCATCTAATAAATTTGACTAACGTTCATCCATATAACCAAAGACACTATCATGTATAACATATATTCATCCACTTATCCTGTGGTCAAGCTCCTCAATGCCTCTATTATTATTTTTTTAATCAACCTATAAGATACTGATTCAAGAAATTTGCAGCTTCTACAGTCAATCTAGAGTTATGTTCTTTGAATCAATCTTTTGTACACCATGTTCCTTGGTTATCTGCTGACCCAAATAAACAACTTTTGTTTGATATCTTGCATTTGTCATTTTCTTAATGTTTATGTTTACAAATTTTATTTGAGTATCTCCATTTGATTGACAAGTTTGATTGATGATTCATAGTTGTTACAAAAGTGAAAAGTTTAATATACTTTCTCTCATTTCGCAGGTATTTCTAGGAACTATGGGTATCATATAAAAGATTAAAGAAATTTAAGCTAAAAATGGCATAGACACAGAAAAACAAAGAGGTTCTTCTCCTAACCCTCCCCAACAAATTCTCACTGTATACTTTTGATATTGCTTAAAGTTCTATTCTAAGGAATTTAACATGTCAAATATTATTAAGCTACTTGGGACCACAAGGAGGAGATTCTTTGAGGCTGTTTCACCCTTCAAATTATAGCAACCTGGTTGTAGAAGGTAACCATCAACTGGAAAATTCCTGGTTCATTTCTATAACTCCAGGTCCTTGGTGAAGCCCAGACTTTAGTATCAAACATGAACTACTTGTTCAACTGGACCCCAATGTTAGCCAATAGCCTAGCTGATCCTTCAGCAAGAGGAATCACAAGATCTGAGGATTCTAAACTGATTTGAGGGGCTCCAGGTCTAAGTATAGAGTCTAAACAAATTTATCTATCTATTTTTCAGGATGACAGAGATACAAGAAACAATTTCTATATCAAGAGATACAAAAATAATAAAATAATCAAACTGAAAGAAATAATAACAAGATCAAATTCCACATTACTTCCTCAACATAAAAACAACCAAAAGCACGCTGGACCTTGTCTACATGAGGATGAGATGTAGAAGGAGCTCCACATTATAAGAATGTTAAGATAGTTACAGTTAAGTCATTCATTCCAAATGGATGAAACATCGGTCAAATTTGTAACAGGCCTACATAAACCATTTTGAAGACCTTGCCCTATTATTTTTCTTTGAAAAATCATAACATATACCTCAAATAAGATCTTTGAAATAAAAAAACAGACCTAAGTGTCATAAAACAAAACCTATGTATCAGCTGATCTCCCAGAGATATAATCAAATCAAACAAATAAGAAAATGTCTCACCAGAGTAGGAAGCGGATTAAAACAAACAAGAATATGCTGTTCTGTAAAACGAATCACAGCAAGGCAGATCCGAAGTGGAGATGGGGCGGATCTGTAAAATGAACCACCATATTTCACAGTTAGTTAAATAAAAAAAGGATGAGGAGGAGCAAGAAGAGTGTTAGCTGATTTGGAGGAAGAAGAAGGAGGAGGAGAAAGATGGTTGGCACTTGGCAGTGGTCTTACCTTACCGGATATGGGGTTGACGGTGGCGACAACAATGACTAGTATGGAGGTTGGAGGGATTCTTCCCTTTCACAACAACAGTTAATCGTAGGTTAGATTGGAGGGGATCTTTATCCAAAAAATATTAGGAACCTAAATAGCGGAATGGGAATGCATTCCGGGGGAGGGGGAAGGGAAAGGCCATTCCCCCCATATGGGGAATCACATTCCGCCTACTCATTCCCATTCTGGTCGACCAAATCCAGAAACACGAAATGACCCATTCCATTCCGATTCCAGGTCCTATTCCCTCGAACCAAATAGACCCTAAAATGTTCAAGAATGATACTCATAATTATAACTATGCCATTCACAGCCCAATAGACCTGTTCATGGGCCGGGTAGCCCGAAGGCCCGACCTGGCCCACACCCCGATCGAACTTGGTCATGTAATTAGGTCCGCGGGTCTGACCTCGGGCCTAACACAGTAAGCCCGATTGTGTTATGGGCCGGGCTCGGGATTTGTCAAAAAGGCCTAACCCGAGCCCGACTCAACATTATATATTTTATAAAATACATAATATGTATTTTATATATTATATAAAATATATAAATAATATAATATTTATTGAAATATATATTTATAATTTAATATATACATCTTTTTTATTTTTTTCTTTATAAATTTTCTCTCACTCTCTCTCTCTCTCTATTCAGCCGCTTCACCAGTAGTAACAACATGGGCTAAATTTTGGGCTTGGGCCCAGGCCCGGGCTTCGAGCTTTTTATGAGGGCCGAGCTCGGGCTCGGGCTCGGGCCTTAGAAAAATCTATTAATATAAGTGAAAGCCCGGCTCGGCCCGGCCTATAAACAAGACTACTGCCCAAGACACACACGTTAAAACTTCTGACTCAGTTTGGAAGGAGTACAAATACAAATATGTAGAGTGCAAATCCTTAATATTTTGTATGTATTAGTACTGTACATATTTGCATTTATATTTTTTTAAATTGAGCCTAAATGGCATGCTGACGGTGCAATTGATGAATTCAATCATGACAATGTGGCAACTTTTCATTGGGAATTATTTTTTTGTCGTATTAATCATGATTAATTCATTGCTTTCAAAGAGACGACTTTGATAGCATAGATTCACGCGGTGATTTATTTGGACGGTCTAGATTGTTAAAGAATTTCATACATTATTTAAATAATTTGGATAAATTCATAAGTATTAAGATGTGACTTTGGTGGGCTAGATTATTGATTGATTTAAAATATAGGGATAAGTGGATTACAACCCACCTCAAATCTGAATTACAGCCCCCAATAGCCCGAACTATAAAATCCCCTTTAATATATTAGTTAAGGTGACGTTTATTTGATACAGCACTTAAAGGACAGATTATATTATATATATATATATATTGTGAAAAAGGACAAGATTATATTAGGACACCGTATTCATTGCCCATTGAGCCATACGTTGAGTTTCATTTGACATTCATTTCCATGACCTAAAGCTAGAGTAGACGAATTGAAACTTTTATCATTTTGATTTGATTTTCAAGATTAGTTAAATTGGTTCTGACTTCTGAGTAGGTGATAGAGTCATATCCCCCTCAAACTGTCTTTAAAAAAGGGATTTATGGACTGCAATTCCTCAAACGATCTTTTTTGTGATGCTTAATACTTAATACACGTGGCTATTTGGTATTACATGGCGACGAATGACAATGAAGGTAACTCCCTGCTCCAGAGTCCGGATTCTCGTTATTCTCACCCTGATTCACACTCCTCCCACATCCTTACCAATAAGACACTATTGCCGTGTATTGCGAACATCTCTCATGAATGACAAATAACGGGAGATATTCCAAATGCGTGGCTGTAGAGTCTTGTGGAGTGGATAGGGATGTGTTCGTAACGAATTCAGATTTCTTATTCACGAGAATCTTATTCATATTTATCACAGTCATACATAGAGAATATCTCATCTTCTGTATAGTATTATGTAAGGGGAAGTTTCCAATTCAGAGGGGGTAATGTATTGTGAGTAGGTGTAGACAGGGTTCTTGTGAACCGGAGTTTCCAATCCCGAGTCGTTCATAACCTTCATGCTAATAATTATTTTTTCTGAATTTTAGGAGGGGTGGGGTGGGGGGAGTTTGGCCAATGGGATTTTGATTTTTATTGACAAAAAATTCTATGTTATTTTTTCAGATTTATATAGAAATAAAAAAAATTTATTTTTCTTATATCATTTATCCCATATTGTAGGTGGATAAATAATTTTTCCATCTTGAGATAAAGTTTTTAATATGTATTTTATAATAATAAATTTTTATAAATAAAATTTGACTTATTTACATGAAAAATAAAAGAATATAGATAAACGCACTTACCCGATAAATCTTTCCTGGGTAAGTGCGTTTACGGATAAATAACTTACCGAAAAACGAACAGGGCCCTCAAGGCCCTGGTTCGGTTCATTCGTCACCTGAGATCCGATCGTTTATTCGTATGGAGGGGATTCGGGGTCAGTGGGGAGGGTGTTCGAACTCTTACTTGTAGGGTTTACCAGAGGTTTCTCTACTGTAAACGAGAGATGGGCAAGTGGGCAGCAAGGAATACTGCATCCTGGAAAACGAGAATCTAGCTGGAAGCGCAGGAACCCTAAAATCGGCAAAAGAAGATTTGGAAACGCGGAAGAACGAACTAACACATCTTACTAGTTACCACCCGACCAAAGGAAAATGACCAAGGTGTACGGAACAGGAACTTATGATTTCAAGCGGCACAGAGTGGCAGAGTATCCGGTAGAGATACCGGACAGGCCACCGGAGCAGAAGCCCGGAATGAATTTGTCGAATTCGATTACGCTGGAGGAAATCCAACGCGACAGGTTAACGAAGATTGCCGCAGCGAATTGGGCCAAAACGACTGATCCTTCACAGCGAGCGCCATTTAATCCGAATTTGGTGAAAGAGATTTACGAGACGGAGCTCCTCGTGAAAGGGGGTCGCAAGCCGGTTTCATTGCAGAGAGTCATGATTCTGGAGGTCAGTCAGTATTTGGAGAACTACCTATGGCCTAATTTCGACCCGGAGACTGCCACATTCGAACATGTCATGTCCATGATCCTCATGATCAATGAAAAGGTTTGTTCTTGTTTCAATCACTCGTTTTCTTTTATTGGTTATATTTTTTTCAGGTTTATTAACGAAAAAAAAAACGAAATGCTCGATTTTCAGGTTTATTAACTTCTTCATATGAACTGTATTCTGTGGTTTTGAATTGGCAGTTCCGGGAGAATATTGCGGCATGGACGTGCTTCTACGATAGGAAGGATGTGTTCAAAGGATTCTTGGAGAGAGTTCTTCGCCTTAAGGAACAGGTTTCTATCGCCTCGAGATTCTTTTTTTTTTTCTTTTTCTTTTTCATTTTCAGTAGTTCAAACTTGTTTTTGTTGCTTTTCATTACTTAGGTCATACCGCTTGTATAAATTAGCAATTGCGTGGTATGAGCTTTAAATATAACAAAATTTGAGGCCAAACTTAGAGGATTGCCAAGAATTTGTACTGCTATTGGGTTGTTGGTTCTGATTGAGCTCCAGTCCTAAAGGAGTTAACTTTTATTTCTTTTTTTTGTTTGCTTTTTTTTCCGAGGCGTTTTTTGCCTTGTTATTTATTTAGTTTTATATTATTGGTGTCCTTGTCCATTCCCACAAGAAAATGCATTGGGCTCTTCTTAATTATGCTCCCATTGCCCATAAGTGAGACTTAATGACTAATACCGCTGGCATTTGTTTTGACAGTACATCCTAGTTCAGTTTCATGTTGTGCTCCTTTCTGTCCTTTTAGTTGAATAAGCAGTTTACTTGCTGCATGATTCCACAGCTTCCTTGTTGGGTTTTTCCTCAATTCAGGAAAGGAAGCAAAAGTATATGAAAATGCTGACTTCTTTATGCCATTGATTCATAAATCATAACCATAGAATTGGAGCTAAATCTCATGAACTGGGTTAGCTTTTTTCTGATGTTAACTAGGTATTTGCAAGAGAAAGTGCCATTGTGTATATTCTTTTCCAGATAATATAGTATTAATTAATGAGGATAGTTGAGGTCATTTTAATTCTTTAAATGCAAACTTAGGTTTATTTGAGAGATGCCTTAGAATCAATTTGTTTCAATATAAGTATCATGAGGACATATTTGTTGAGGTAAGCGATGCTTGCCAGTGCCTAGAAGCGTGGAAGGTTGGAAATTGTGAGGAAGGAGGGAAGTTGGTCGTTGGAGACAAAAAGGTCAAATAGAATGAATATAGAATGATGCTTCTGGAAGAAAGTGATGAGGGTGTTGGTGAAAATGAATAAGAGAATGACCAAAGGGAGGAGGTAGTTTTAGATGAAAACCATCATGTTGAGGGAACAATTGATCTGGAAACTGTGGTAAAGATAGAATGGAAGTTAGTAAGATATTGGGGTTGTTTTTCTTGGGTGGAGAAGAATATTTTTTTTTTGATAAATGATTGAATTTTATTCAATAAAATCGATAAGATATTACAATACAGCCTTCCCAAAGGAGGGGCACAAGCTGGTACCTCTCCACAATAGCAACAATGTACTACCTCAGACTAGTAACAAAAACTTTACAAAGCTGCCCAGAAAAACTGTTCCCTTGATACCCCTTGTTTAGCTAACCCATCCGCTATGGTGTTAGCTGTTCTACCCACCCACTGAAAAATAACATTCATGTTCCTTGAGAACCATTTAGCTTTCCTCATAATACCCCTGTAGCACCAGATCACTGAATCTGGATTTTTTAGCCAACCCACAACAACTTTGGAGTCTCCTTCAATAATCAAATTTTGAACTCCTAACTGATCCACAACCTGAATGCCTTGTATTGCCGCTAGGAGCTCAGCTCTGATAGAGTCTCCTATACCCACAGAGCCTGAGAACAAAGCTAATATGTTACTATCTTTGTCTCTCAGCACCCCACCAATCCTTGAAGGCCCCGGATTTCCTTGACTGCTACCATCAAAATTCAGCTTTGTCCAGTCTTCTGAAGGGGGTACCCATACAGCTGGTACCCTGTTCTTTCTGTCACTGCTACCAGCCACAGCCCTCCAGTTCCTCCACATGTCATCAAAAGAATATAATTTGAAGGAATTTGATGATCTCAGCCAGTGGATTGCCCTGGTCAAAATGCAATCCTTCACATTCTGCACATTTCTCTCCTTTTCTTGGAATATCCTCGCATTTCTTTCTTCCCAAATTGTCCACAGAGCAGCAGCTCTAATGCTCTTCCACATTGTTTTACCAGTTTTTGTGGGCCACACAAAGAAGGAAGAATCAAAGATCTGATCTATGGCTGTGGTCATATTCCATTTGCAACCGAACAAAGCAAAGATCCAACCCCAAATAGCAGCAGAAAAAGGACAGGTTAAAAGTAAGTGAGAGCAATACTCACCATTAGCCTTGCAAAATACACACCAATTAGGAGACAAACACATAGAAGGCCTTCTCTTCTGCGGTAAGTCTGAAGTGTTGATTTTCCTATAGAAAACCTCCCAGCAGAACATAATAATTTTAGGAGGTACAGGTTTAGACCAAATCTCCTTAGCTGGGAAGCCCACTTGTCTCGAGGGAGAGCAAAGGGACTTAAAAAAGGAAGCACATGTGAAGTAACCTTTTGGGTTTGGAGACCAAAGTCTCACATCAGAACTGGAAAGGTCCAGAAAAACACTTTCAAGCAGTGACGACAGGTCTGAAAACATGAGAGGGTTCATGATCCCTCAAACCCCTTCGAAATCCAAAGTCCCAACTCAAGGAAGATGGAGAATTAGATGTTGGAAGAAAATGAGAAATTGTTTTACCCTTGTAGCAAGAAATGGAATAGAGAGAAGGGAAATTGTCCTTAAGGGCAGAATTGCCCACCCAGATGTCTTCCCAGAACAAAACAGAAGTACCAGAATTGACATCATACCTGATACAGTTGAGGAAAAGAGGAAGAATATTCCGAATTGCTTTCCAAGGAGTTGCCAGAGTGGCTCGACGCGATACACCAGCATCCCATCCATTGCCCAAACTGCCATGTATGCTAGCTATCACCTCATGCCAAAGTCTCTCTTGTTCCAGGGGCCATCTCCACAACCATTTTCCTATGAGTGCCTTATTCTTCAAAACTAAATTCCCCAGTCTCAATCCACCTTCCTCTTTCCTCCTACACACTAATCCCCAATTTATTAAGTGATCATTTTTTTCCTTCCCTGGCTCCCAAAGAAAATTTCTCATTAATTTCTCTAGTTTTTTGGCTTCCCTGACTGGAATCCTAAACACAGAGAAATAATAGATCGGCAGATCTGCTAAGGAAGCTCTCAGTAAGGTAACTCTACCCCCCAAAGAAATATAGTTCCTTTTCCACGAGGCTAACCTTTTCTCAAACTTTTCTAAAACCAAGGCCCAAAAAAGTGCTCTCCTTAGGGTTGGTTCCAAGAGGAAGACCTAAGTACTGTAAAGGCCAATAGGAAATAGGACAACCTAAAGGCTCAGCCACCAACTCAAGGGTCCTCTCATCCAGATTCACTCCCACCACATAGCTCTTTTCCAAATTTATTTTCAGATTTGATACTCTCTCAAAGCACTCTATCAAAGACTTGAGATTACTTACTGTTCTCTTATCACCCTCTTCACAAAAGATTATTAGGTCATCAGAAAACTGTAAGTGGGTCACCCTAATACTGTTCCTTCCTATCCTCCATCCTCTAACTACACCTTCCCTGTCTGCCTTAGAGATCAAGCTACTAAAAACATCTGCAACTAGGGTAAAATGGAAAGGGGAAAGGGGGTCACCTTGCCTTAAACCTCTAAGAGCTGGGAAAAAATCCTTGACTACCCCATTAACCAAAACCGAAAAATGGCAAGAACATATGCGACCCTTTATCCAATTACACTATCTAACTCCAAACCCACAACACCCTAGGATTTCTAGTAAGAAGCTCCAATCCACCAAATCATAGGCCTTTTCTAAATCCAACTTACAAACAAACCTTTGCTTTTCGGACTTTCTCATATCATCCACACATTCATTTGCTATTAGAATCTGATCTGCTATTTGTCTCCCTTGCACGAAAGCTCCCTGTGCTTGACTAATGATGGAGGGTAGCACTACTTTAATCCTCAAGGATAACAATTTTTGAGGGCTTTTAAGGAATTGGAGGAAAAAGAACTTGGGAGGTTGAATGTGGAGGGAGTGAAGGGGGTAGAAGAGAGATTTACTTTAAGGATAGAGGAATTTCTAAATAACTGAGATCAACCGGAGATGGAGGTGATGTAGACAAAGGGGATAAGAGAATTGGAGTTAGAGTATCAATGCTAATAGCTAGCTCTAAGGGTCCAAAAGATTTTGAGATGGTTCCTAATTCTGTAAGATGTTTCATAGGTCAGAAAAAATCCATGTGCTCTACAGGTTTTAAAAGCTTTGTGCCAGGTTGAAAGGGGTTTATTTGGGGTTCGGCCTAACCTAAAGTTGAATAAATCAAAGACCGTTATTAAGAGAAGTGCAGTGATTCCTAATGAAGCTTTTGAAGTTGCTAAGTAATTGAGTAAAGTTGTGTTTGGCATTAAGTTGGAGTCTAGTGTTCTTTTGATGCAAGTTTCAGTTGGTTGCCAAGGGGGCAAGGGGGTTGGGGGTGTGCTTTCACTTTAGTGATTTTCTATGGTTTGGGACTTGATGTTGTTTGGTGTGCTTTCTTGGGTTTTTTGTTCTTTAAGGAGTGGAGTTGGGTGAAGAGTTGTTTTGTTTTTCTTCTTTCGGGTGATTTCTTGTACTTTCCTTTTTCCTTTAATAAATTTTATTTTACTATAAAAAAGAAGGCTAAAATCCATGGTACAAAACTCACCTCCCATCAGGGAGACATAGAAAAGGGAAACAAACTGGGATTGCCATTTCCCATGGAAACACTATAATAATATCAAAAGTGACAACAAAGCCATGCTGATAGTAAAGTCTAACAAAGCATGCCTCTATACTCCCCATCTAGCAAAATTGTATATAAGAGAGTCAATGGATCTCAGAAGTCAGAATCCATCTAAAAAGGTGGCCTTGCTATGGCATCTCGATGATCAATGTACCTCTAGATGATCATCTATCCACTCAATGACAATCTGTAAGTTTCCTTCTATTTCTACTCTTTGAAGTCCAAGTGAAATCCCTTTATGAATCCTTGCAGTAGGCAAAAACCTCAATTATGATAGCATCCCGTACTCTAATTCGTCTAGAAAGGATTGCAGCTCTTACCTCAACAATCTTTCTATGCTCATACTCTTCAGGGTCCCAAGGAGATAACAACTGCAGTAATAACAGAGGTACGAATGAAGGTACAGATAAGATGTTGATTATGGATAGATGCCTCAAAGCAAACATGCTTGCTTTTTTTTGGGTCTCTCTCTCTCTCTCTGATAAGTGATAGAGAAGAGAAGAATGTAGAGGATTTGACTGTAGAAGTAGTGCAGCGTGGATGCAGTGGAGAGGTTTCATTTGAGGTATTCTATTATTGGCTCATGCTAAGCAAATTGAAATAGAACATTTATATCACCAGTGTTAGATCAGCAATGAGATATTGAGTGAAGTTGTTTTTCCCTGATGAATAAATTTTAGAAACTTCATTGACTGCAAGAAAGAAAGCTGCACAGAAGTATCTATTTCTTGCACCCTATAGGTGAAAAGGCCAGCCCCTGCTGCGTATTTCCTAATCTGATCCTTCTCATCCTTTCAATTTAACAGTTTATCTTCCATGGGATATTCCCTAAAACAGTTTAACCCATTGTGCTCTTTTTTGGATAGTACATCAGCTAGCCTGTTAGCTGATCTTTGAACTCAATGGAACGCTGTGCTTAAACATTCAGCCAGCTGCTTTACTTTCCTGATTTTATGGTGATATTACTGATGTCCTTGACTGCTACTTTGAATCCACCCTATACTTTGGACTCACCTTCTACCAAATGATTACTATAATTGTGTATATACATAGATAATATTGGCAATTATATACAATTTATAATTAATAGATTTAACATTTCATATTTTTAGAACTTTATTATATATATCATCTAAAATAATTGAATTTGTAAACTTTTTGTTTTTCCATTGTTTTAAAACAATAAAGCTGAATCGGCTTAAATATGAATGTGATCCAAGTTTGACAGGATGCAAAATCTGATCTGAGATCCCTAGTTCTAATTGTATTTTGGATCAGATTTGTATTCAAGTTTTTAGTAATTTGTTTGGATTCAGATATTACTGGATCTGATCTGAATCTGACCTGATTACAACCTTAGCTAGTAGATAAGGTTTGACTTGATGTAGAATAAAAGGCCGTAGGATAGATGACCTAAGTATGCTAGTAAAGATTGATTTGAATCATGGTGACATAGGCACATAGCATCACACACATCACATGGCAATCCAATACCTTCTTAACGAGAAAGAGGATTCTTTACTAGTGTCCAAATGGGCTCTCTGTTTTGTGATAAATAACTAAGTTTCATTAAACAAGGAAGAAAAGAAAATAAGTGTACAAAATTATCAAAACAAAAAAAGAAAATAAGTGTACAAGAAGCATGCAAAAGGGAGAAAATTTATTATTATTTTTTGATCATCAGAGAAAATTTATTATTTGATTGGGAAAAAAATTTAAACAAAACCCTGTGCTACTTAACTTTCTAAAATAAGCCTAAAAACCTCAGATATACAAGAAAAAATCAGTGCAATAGAAAACCTCAAGATAAAATAAGTTCCAAAGGAAAAGAAAAAACTATGATATGATTGAGAAACCACCTGAGTAGAACTAAGCTATCTCTCTTGAACAAAGGCTTGAATTACAGGCAGATTGCAGTAGTTTGCTGGATGCCTTAGATTCTAGCCAGAACAAGCATGCCTCTTGCTATCAGTAAATAAACAAGACTAATCATGAAATAGGCCTTTCTCCTCTGTGTCTTTTTCCTCTCCTTTTGTTAGTCTTTTTTTTTCTTCTCCCTTTCCCACCCCTTTTCTCCTTGGAAGCAAGGTTCAAAGTATTGATACTCTCGATATGAAAATTTAATGTATTGAGAGTTTTTATCAATCAATACTATTTTATATTTTTAGTTTTTGATTTGATATTTTGACAGTAAATACGTCACATCATGATTTAACACACAACAATGAGAATAAACAATCTCCTGTTTCTTAGCATATTGGTGAGGTAAAAAATTGATGCATATTGTACGAGACACATTGATAAGTTTCAATATTTGGAACCTTGTTTAGAAGCAGACTCTTCAGGTTTCTCCCATGCAATCACCCATCTGGTTTCTTAATTTAAGCCCCCAGACTCGCCTCCATTGAAAAACTTCCTAGTGGCTTCTGATCTAGTTCTTCTGACATATCATAGTTATGCTGCTCCAGATTATGAAGCAAGGGGAATTGAAATGATATTTATAACATTCATAAGACTTCCCTTGAAATCATACCTGCATCTTGTGTTCCTAGTTCAGTACAAATCATAATAAGCTAGCAATGGATACCGCTATAGAGTAATGATAAACATAATGCTAAGAAATCTTATCAACATATAAGAATGATTTATTACAAAATTATTGATAAAAAATGCTCTATTACAAATTTAATTAAATCTAGCAAAACCCTTAAGAGATTATTTTCTTCTAAATAGACAACTTTGATTTTTTTTAGGTATGCAACTAGTCAGTTGGCTGGACCTGGTGTATTGCAACCCAGATATTAACCAATCTTGAGACCCAGTTTATCTTAAGGCTATGGAAATTTTTAATGGTTTCTCCTTGGATGACTTCATTAGAGGATGGGGAGCAATAGCAGTTTCTTCTAAGCTGAAGCCCGCTGTGCAAGGGGAGTGGGTTCTTTCTAGCTACAACATAATTACAACGAACTTTGGTGGGAGCTCATGTGGAAACCTAGGTCCCTTGGCTATAGGGGAAGTCTTTAAAGATGGTAGTAGAGTGATATTGGCTTTATATTCTGGTCCAATTGGGGTAACCAATTCTTTATCAGCAGAAATTTCAGCTCTTCTGCAAGGCTTAAAGTTTGCAAGGCAACTAAACTTGAGACAATTAGAGATGGAAAGTGACTCGTTGGTGATAGGTTGGATAGTTAAGAACAGTGATGGTCCATGGGTTTTCAGACAGGTAATAAGGGAAATAAGGAGACAAGCATGTGAGGTTGAGGCTATTTTTAAATGGATTAACAGGTCAGCAAATGCATTGGCAGATATGCTAGCAAAGCAAGGGGTGACTAAGGAGCCAACTATTTTGGGCCAACTTGTACTCATAATTTGTGGGATTGTCTCAGTGTGAGCTATGTACTTCTGAAATTTCTAATTAATACAAGTTTCTGGTTATCTATCAAAAAAAAAAAAAACAAAAAAAAAGGAATGCTTATAATATGTATTTTGTTGAAAAGTCAAATTGACCTTTGACAAAAAGGGGCCATTGGGGTGTTTATCTAAGTTAGAGGAGTCTGTTGCTGTCTTTTCTTTAAGTTAAACCGAGGCCAAATGCATTCCTAAGAGGCTTCTATCTTGAATTTAAGGTTAGGTTAGGAATATTAAAAAAAGACAGATTTCTGTTATATTTGGTATTTGAACATTGGGTCCACTAGGGTTTGAGTTGTTTAATGGTCCAGTGGAAGTGTAACATGTATCATTTGCATTTTAGAGTTTTTTTAGTATTATATATAGCCCTACAAGTAAAATGGGAGCAGTGGTTTCTAAATAGAATAATTTGCTTCTCTGAGAGAAACTTCTTCCATGCTCCTGTGTTTCTGCCAAGCCTGACAGAGACCTATTACTTGATCAACTGTGGCTGCTACTACCTTGTTTTTGGATTTCTGTGGTTTTCTTTATATTAGCATTTGATAAAATTGGAGAAGACTTTGATGGCTTCTATGCATGGATTATATCCTACCACCTATGTCCCTTGATAGAGTGAAATGGTGAAATAGGATTGGTATGGTTAGCCCTAAAGAGTTGGGATAAAGTTTTGTTAATTGAGTTGTGTATTCCTGGTTGTATATGATTAATTTTATTTTTCACATTAATTGGTCACTGGTAATGCCACATGCTATCATTTTTGATTGTTAAATGCTTCATATCATCATTCATAGTTTTTGTGGATGTTTGTTTGGTTCTTAATTCATAGGTCTTTCCGTTGGTCCATTATCAAATATCTATTTAAAAGATTGTTAAATGCCTTATGTTTATAGTATCCATGTGCATTTGTGGGCATATCGTTAAACATTGGATCTTATATTTGTGGTTGTAGGGAAGAAGCTTAAGCACAGCAGAGAAGACAAATTACTTACTTTTCATGATTAATGCTTTTCAGGTATGCTGTCTTATAATTGTTAAATTTGTGGTCCTATATTATCATACAAGCATTTGGGCATCTTTGTCGTTATTAACAGTACCGAAACATAGTGGAGAAAAAATGCTTCACAATCTCATTCCCTTTTCTTTTGAGATCCACCTGCTGCATATCATTAAAGCCTTTGAAAACTGGAGCCAAAACCATGAATAATGGGCAAATGGTTTGACATATACTTGGAAGCCATCTTGAACTTCCATAAAAATTCTTCTGTACAGTTCTCTGAATCTCTGCACGCCCCTCAAAATACTGCAAAAAAAAGTGATATTCGTTGTCTATGAACCATATCTCTTGTTGGCTTCTTTTGAATCACAGGAAGTGGAATTTTTGAAGACTTAATCCATCCTCAAGGTAAAGAGTAAGAAACCCCATATGTCCTTAGATATTAAACATTCTTAGTTGAACCATTTGCTTTTAGAAATCTCTACAAACTTCTGACATCATATGCTGCATTTTTCATGATAAATAGAAATGAAAGCACACAAGAAAGGGGGTGAGAATGGATGCCTAGTATTAATTGTGAGGTCTAGGAGAACAAGAAACTTCCTTCACAGGAAAGGATGGGAAATTATTAAGGACTTGAAAAAGGATTTGCAGGAATAGCTACCAGCAATATTAAAAGGTCACAACTGACCATCACCATCCTCAACAGACTTATCAAGGACCACCTCACCCAAGAGGTTCAGAAAGGTTAGACACAAGGGAAATTTCAAAATCTCTATGATTCCTTCTTAAAATAAAACACTGATCTCCCTTTGAGAGGTTGGATTGTGTATACAGAAAAGGAGACTCCCCAATCCAAATATCCTCCCAAAATTTAACCTTATTACGAGAGGACAAGTCATACCTGATATGATTGAGAAACAAAGGAAGAACATCATGTTCTAAGATCATGGGAAGCAGTAACCAACTCCAGAATTTTTTTTAAAGATATAGTGGTGTTAGAGTGGAATCCCCCTTCAGACAACAACATAAAACTGAACTTTTTTTTTTGATCAATAACAACATTTCATTAATTAATCACAAAAGTAATTACATGGAGGAAGATAAACTTTCTTATCTTCCATCTGGAGGTTGAGCTTCCAAAAATAGAAAAAGGGAAAAATTACACTTGTGCCCAAAACATAGACTCTCTCTCGACCCCTTTCTTAGCTAACCCATCAGCAAAAGATTAGCTGCTCTTACCTAGCTGATCTTGACTTCCATCTCTTGAACCAGCCACCTAAATTTCCTCCTCTCATTACTGTACATCCATAACCCACTATTTTCTTTATTCAGCCACCCTACCACCACTTCCGAGTCCCCTTCAATTATGGGTTTTCTTATACTCATCTCCTTTGCTCTTTGGACTCCTTCCAAAACTGCAAAGATAGAGAGAGTCACCCACTCCAATTGGGCTTGAGAACAGGGTTGACACAAACCCATTCTCATCCCTAAACACACCCCCAATCCCCGAGTGTCCAGGATGTCCCCAACTACTCCCATCAAAGTTTAGTTTTAACAAACCAGCAGATGGGGGGGGGGTCCAAGACACTCAATACTGTTTTGGTCTGGGTGCATTTAGCAATCTCACCCCACTTCCTCAACAAATCATCCATTGTGAAGTCTGTAAACAACTCTGAAGATTTCGGCCAACGTACTACCCTTATATGGATTAGTTCTCTCAATTCTTCATTGCCTCTCTCTACATCAGAGAAGATCCTGGAATTTCTTTCCTCCCATAAAGCCCAACATACTGCAGCCCTCAAACATCTCCACATGGTCCTTCCCCTTTTCATTCGACACCTGAAGAACGAAGGGAAAAAAAGTCTTTGCAAGTTTGATGGAGGATTCCACCTACACCCAAAGAGGGATAAAGCCCACACCCAGATGGACTTTGCAAGCTGGCAAGACACCAATAGGTGAAAACTAGTCTCCCCATCCACTTTACAGAGAACATACTTGTGAGGGGATAAACATGTCTTGGGTCTCTTCTTTTGGAGTAGATCACTGGTATTGGTTCTTTCCAGAAAAGCTTCCCAGCAAAAACTACCAGCACTAGGGGGAATTGGTCTGCACCAAACCTCATTAACCGGGAAGGGAGGGGCAACAGGACTGGGGGAGTGACTTAAGATTTTGAAAAAAGAGGCACAGGAAAATGAGCCGATGGGGGCGGGGGTCTAGATTCTAGAATCCAACTTAGTAGGGTCTAAGAAAACATTATCAAGGTTTAAGGATACTAAGGAGACTCGAAATACTATTCAAGTCTGTATCTCTTACAACCCTTCTCAAGCCCAAATTCCACCCAAACCTAGAAGAGGAAGATGGGGGGGGGGTAATAAAGGAAGAATCTGTCTCATTTTTTAAGTCAGAAAGGGCATACGAGGAAGGAAACATGTCCTTAAGAGGGGCATTCCCCACCCATGTTTGTTCCTAGAATTTTATGGAGTTACCTGAGTTCAAATCATACCTGATGAGAGGGGAGAAAGTTGGAAGCAGATTATGAATGGCTTTCCAAGGTGACGCACTTGTGGTCCTAGCTTGGATCCCAACATCCCATCCGTTTTGCCCCAGCCCATGTATGCTTACCACTACTTTAGCTTTTAATCTCCCCTTTTTTATTGGGAGTTTCCACAACCATTTCCCTAGAAGAGCCAAATTCCTTTTCCTGATGTTCCCAAGCCCCAAGCCACCTAAGTTTTTGCTCCTAGCCACCACCTCCCAACTCACCCTATGGTCCCTTTTGTCCTCTCCCGGCTCCCATAGGAAATCTCTCATCATCTTTTCTAATCTGTTAGATACCTTTGTTGGGATTTTGAACACTGAAAGGAAATAAATATGGGTAAATTGGCTAAAGTAGCCTTAATCAGTGTAATCCTCCCTCCAAGGGAAAAGGTAATTCTTCTTCTTCTAAGAGGCAAGTGTCTTTTCGAATATTTCCACCACCAGATTCCAGAAATTCTTTTTCTTTGGGTTATCACCCAAAGGCATCCCTAGGTAATTCAATAGTCATCCTGAAAATTCACAACCCAACAATTCTGCACTTTCCCTAATCTCTCCCTCCTCCAAATTCTCACCCACTACACAACTTTTCTCAAAATTCACCTATAGGTTGGACATTTGTTCAAAGAGTTGTATCACCAATTTCAATAAGTCCGGTCACTAGTATTTACAAGGTGATTGCAAAGGTGCTGTCTCTGAGGATTAAAAAGGTGATTTCCCCTTTAGTTTCTCAAGCTCAAGGGGCCTTTGTGCAGGATATACAGATTATTGATCAAATCTTAATTGCCAATGAATGCATGGAGGCTCATAAGAGATCAAAGAGGAAGGGAGTGGCTATCAAACTGGATCTGGAAAAAGCCTGTGACTTAGTGGATTGGAATTTCTTGATTGAAATTATGAGGAGATGTGGGTTTGGAACTTTGTGGTGTAAATGGATCATGGAATGCCTGCAAACTTGTCACTTTTCAGTTATAGTTAATGGGGCAGTGTATGATTTCTTTGAAGGATTCCATGGGCTTCAGCGGGGTGACCCCCTTTCTCCTTTTCTATTTACCATGATTGCTGAAGCACTAAGTAAATTGATTTCAAGAGCAAATGGTGTGCATCAGGGGATGGTCAGTTGGGAGGGACAACGTTTTTGTAACTCAATTACAGATTTTTTTTTTTTTATGAATGAAAATAATTTATTAAATCAGAATATAAGGCAATACAGGAAACCCATGAAGAGGCACGAGCTGTTACCTCTTATAACAAAGTATTACATCAATTAAGAACCGGATAAGCAGAAATAAACAGAAATAAAATTACATAGCAGCCCAAAACAAATGATCCCTTGAAACCCCTTGCTTAGCTAGTCCATCCGCTAAGGAATTTGCTGATCTTTCTAMCCAAGGAGAGGTAACTGTCATATTTCTTGTGAGCCAATTGACTTTCCTCAATAAATCTCTATATCGCCACATAGCTGAAGCTGGCTTTATCAGCCATCCCACAACAATTTTAGAGTCTCCTTCAACTCTCAATTATTGAACTCCTAACTCTTCAGCAATCTGGATGCCTTGTACAGCTGCTAAGATCTCTGCTCTATTTGAGTCTCCTTTTCCCACAGGGCCTGAAAACAAAGCTAGGATGTAACTCAATTACAGTTTGCAGATGGCACTCTCATTTTTTGTGATGGAGAAAGTAGGGAGGGAGTGGAAAATCTGAGGATGGTTGTGAATCTCTTTGACAGGATGTCTAATTTGAGTATTAATTGGTCAAAGAGTTTACTGGTTGGAGTCAACATTGAAGAGGATGAAGTGAGATTTATGGCAAGTTCCCTAGGTTGTGAGAAAGGTGAGTGGCCAATGAAATACTTAGGTTTACCCCTTGGAGATAATCCTAGATCTGCTAGTTGTTGGTCTCCGGTGGTAGAAAGGATAGAGAAACGATTGGCGGCGTGGAAAAGAAATTATATCTCATTTGGGGGGGGGGGAGAATAACCCTAATTAAATCCACTTTAGCAAATCTCCCAGTGTACTACATGTCAGTGTTTAGGATGCCCACAAAGGATAGTGAGGAAAGTTGAAAAAATCATGAGGGATTTTCTTTGGGAGCCAGGGGAAAAAAAGAAGGATCATTTGGTTAGATGGGAACAAGTGAGGAAACTGAAAGAGGAAGAGGGTTTGGGAATAGGTAATGTTAGAATGAAGAATCAGGCTTTGCTGAGCAAATAGCTATGGAGGTTTCCAAATGAAAATGGGAAATTATGGCACAAAGTGGTTGCAAGCATTCATGGCATGTCGAACAACGGATGGGATGTTGGATGTCTCCATAGTGCTAACTTGGCTGCTCCCTAGAAGGCCATCCATGATGTTCTCCCTACGTTCCTTAATTTTATCAGATATGATTTGTCTTCTGGTAGTAAAATCAGATTCTGGGAGGATTTGTGGATTGGGGTTACTCTTTTAGGGGAGAAATTTCCTTCTCTTTGTGATCTGTCT